CACATATATATATATATATGTGCATATGTATATGTGTGTGTATACATATGTATGTGTATATATACATATTCATATGTATGTGTGTATCACTTCCAGCTAATGAGCCTCCAGAATTATATTGGGTTGCAGCTCTTTTAAAAAAATGTATCACTCTATTTTTTTTTGTATTCCAGCTCTAAGTCCTCAATCTTCAGTTGACTTAAGAGGCCAATTAGTCTCACGTCAGTACGTCTTTCCCACTCGGAGCATTCTAGGGAGCTCTGGCCCACAGCTTGAATATCATTAAGCTGCAAAGAAAAAAAATGGTTAATGCATTTCTGAGGGAAATTAGTTTTATTCTTTTTCTTTTCCCCCCTCTTGTGCGTGTTGGGTTTAATGGAATTAAAATGTAAAAGGAAGGAAAAAGTAGATTTGATAAGTTGATAGTTTGGAACCTTTTCCATCACAGAGGCGATGCAGATTACATCATCGGGGCCGCAGACTGTTCAGAAAGCAGAAGGGGAGACGGTCAGCCTGGGGTGCACCTACACCCCGGCAGCGGGGGACACAGGAGACCTGGACATAGAGTGGTCCAACGTCAGCCCTGACATGACACAGAAAGACCACCTGGTGAGTTGTTCATGCTATTTGTGTTTGGTGGATCTTTGGTGTTTATATTTTAAACCAAACAAAAGTCTGAAACTTTGCATCTCAGATCTTATCATACACAGTCACTGAAACGCACATCCATGACCCAGACCTTACCAAAAGGTTGAAGTTTTCCACAGACCCAAAGCAGGGGGATGCTTCCATCACCATCTCAGCTCTGACAGCTTCAGACACGGGAACCTACCAGTGTAAAGTCAAAAAGGCACCGGGCGTGGACATGAGAAAAGTCACACTGGTTGTTCAAGGTAAGGTGGAACTTCTGCTTTTTACCGGTTCTACCTGTTTATTATCACAAAGTTCCCTTTCATTGTCTACCTGTCCCTGTCATTCACCTGGAATGTCTGCGCTCCTACTTCTCTCACGCTTTATTTAGCTTTAGGTGGGAACCTCACACTTCTCAAAACCTCCTGAATGAAATCAGAATATTTTATTTATTTAAACATGTTGGCAAAGAGCAAATATGACATCACACATTTAAACACAGCAATTATCTTTTCAGAATTTCAAAAATAAGAAAAATCTTTCAACATTGTTCAATAGTGAGAGTTCTGGTTACATAATTTCATACAGTAGAAGCCATTCAAAGTTTCGCCACTTTCCTTGATGGGCCCTCGGCAGGTCCCTTACAATTCATTCATTCATCAATCAATCTTTGCACTAAAATATTCTTTCTGTCATGATTTGTGGACATTAAGATCTAAAGAGAAACGCCTTCTCCTGTCAGATCCTGTAATTCAGTGAAAGGGTGGAGTCGGAGTAAAAAGAAAATATGCCCGCCCAGCAGAGGGGCAGTGCTGGAAGTTGGAGGGGATTTTGCTGCTGGGAGTAGGCTACCAGTCTTTGACTGGGAAGGGCCATTTTGAATGCCTGCTACTGTAAATACCTTTGGCAATTCATTAGAGATGGACTGATACAGTTTTACTTTCTTTAAGGCCGATACTGATTATTTATAAATCAGTTCAACCGATCATACATTTTTTGTTCTCATTCTTGGGCTGGATATTCCTTTTTATTTCTCTATTTACATCATAAAAATTGACACAATGATAACAAATGTTTCACGAATCTCAATTAAAGCCACAATGTGTAATTTTCAGCAACATTTAATGGTCAGACTGCAGCGACATGAACCACCCCCTCACACTGTCTTTCACCTTAAACAATTCAGAGGCCGTCATGGTAAAAAAAAATGGCTTCCGAAACGTGACTCTACCTATATTATCAAGAGATAACGAAATTCATTTGCATTCAATCGCAGCATCAAGCTTTTTGAAAAGCAGTTTTTATTTAGCCGTAGAAGGACTGTTTCCTATCCTACTTCCAACTGCTGCTTCTTTTATCCCGCTCACTCCGGCCGCAGGCTCCTCTGATTCCCAGCAGTTAGCCTCTGGATGCTAGCCTTGGCCTGCCATCGTCTCGTTCTTCTCCGTCTCCCTGGTGGCTCCTCTAACGTCGCACCGTCCTCCTCACAATAAGCCACAGCCTATCTCCCCTGCCTTCAGACCTCCCTCCACCCTGTGGACTAATCTGATCTTCCTCTGTTCACCTTCAACCCTCTGCAGTTAGCCTCTAGTTAGCTCGGGCCAGCTGAACCCTCTTCCGGGCCATTAGCGCCGTTTCCCAGCAGGCCTCTCGATCTGCCGCTGTGCTCCTCAGCCGTCTTTCTGATCTAGTGATCTAGTGATCAGTGATTCCCCGCTGCTTCTGCATTAGCTCAGCAGGAATGCTGTGTCCCCTTACCTCTGTTGTCCAGGTGATTGGTCCACCTGTTTTCAGCATTATGATCAAAACAAACATGGACCGAGGGCAGGAGAAAGATATGCGTCCGGTCAGAAAAAAACTAACAAAAACACAACAACTGACACTTGAAGTTTGCCGTCTTCAACAACCAGGTTGTTACTGATAATGGCCGATGTAAGTATAGTGAATTTTATAAATAGTATTTTATTAGTCTGTATAGGACAGCATATAGGCCTATTACAGTCCCATTCGGGTGTAATAGTGATCTCTATGGTCACTAGTTTGTCGTAGATGTCTTCCTCCACAAATGCGAACCCACTGCTATGTAATAATAAATAGCAATTTCTAAGGCAAGGCAAACATAAAGATTGAGACTCTCAGTTTATAGATGGTAATAAATAACATACATATAGATTATATATACCATTTATGCCAGTAAATCCTTGTAGTTATAACACACTGTACCTTTAAAACATAAACTAAACTTTAATTAACAGTTTAAAATGCTTCCAAATGGAGGGTGCAATGTGTGTACTTCATGTTATCTTAAGACATGGCTGCTCAATGTGCTAATTATGTGGAGAATGCATGCAGGTATCATCTGATGTAGGAATAAAAAATAAAATAAATCTCAGCTAAAACCATCTGAGGTGTCTCTATATTTATTACTTGTTTCAGTTTTTGTACTCATTCCCGGTTTTGCGTAGGGAAGCCATTCCAGCGTAGAGATAGACAGATATCTTTGTTCAACGCTAACAGGTTTTTTCTTGCATCAGTCGATACTTTCATGCATTTACAGATGGATTGGCGCATTTAGCAGGAATGCAAACGCCACTCCCTCCATCTTCTATCCATTGTTAACACTTCTTTTTGTTTGTGGATAAATTTAAACTTAGACTTACTTGAATCACATTTGTTTTCCATCTGTCCATTTTTATCACGTTAATGGAGAAATAAAAAGGAATATAAGCTTCGATATGGCCCCAAAAAATCCGGGATACGTTGACTGATTTCAAAATAATCTGTATTAATCTCTATAACTGTTTTCCTTGACGTTCTGATTCTATAATAATAGACTTATTCGTCTTTTGTTGATTGACAGAAACTGGAATTTTATCACTAATATTAATTAGAAAACCACCATATAATGGGTAAATGTTTTATCAATTATTGTTTCACCATGATTAGTTAATGTATTAATGGTATTTTTAGACTCCTCGGTTTCTTCATGGCTATTTCAGTTTAATAGATTGATGCTGAAGTCGCCATTAATAAACAGGATCTTATTATTTACATTTTCCCCCATCCAAATTTAAGGCCTGGTCTTGCATATATACGGCTAACAAGTATATATCTTTAGTTTTTCTCCTTCTTACTACCACAGAAACACTGAAGATGTTGTATTCTTTGACATTGCCTCAACATTCCCATTCTTCATATCCACTGAATTTGTCAACATTCTCTGAAAAACACAGAACAAAGCTGAAGAAGCTGCAATGTACATTTGTATTCGGTCGCCTTTACCTCAGAATCCCTAAATAAAATCCTGTGGAACATGTTGCACTCAGACAGTAGATGAGGTGCAGCTTTTTGTGATTTACTCAGAATAAAAACGCTCCCAGAGTTTCTTTTAGACAACAGTACAGCATCATGAAGACAGAGGAAGGCAACAGCCAGTGCAAAAAGGGATACTGCTAAACTATTCTTAAAATAAGTATTTGATTTGAGTAGCTAAGCAAAATTTTAATTAAAAACCTTTTTAAAAACTTCTCCATTACCTTATTTTAATTGCATTATATATCAAAAATCATGTTGAAGGGGCCAAATTAAGCAAACTGGGATATAGAACAACATCTAAAGGGAAGAACATCTATCAGATCATATTTAGTTTGTTGATGGTAGAACGATCATCCAAGATTAAAATCATCATTGAAAACTACAAATTAGACACTGCATCAAAGATATCCCCAATGGTAATCCAGACCCCCCCATCCAGTATTCAGGAAATGTCTCACGCCTGGCAGTAGTAGCAGGGCATCAAAATCCTTTAGGGTTATTAGAGAGGCTCAGGCACCCCAGTTGGAAGGGTTGAGAAAGGGCTGGGAGAACGATTTCGATACTCAAATTTTTTGGGAGAAGCTTTTGGCCTCTTGGTACATCCGTTCAAGGGAAACACATGCACAGAAGATTCAGTACAAAATACTTACTAGAAAGTTTTGGACCCTCAGTAAATTAGTCGAGCTAATAGTGTTACGGCTACTCTTGCATCAAAATAGTTTCCCAAAAAATTAAAAACTGCCAGAGTAGTCTTAGGAGGAGGTTTTTTCGACTCACAAAACAAAAAGCACTCGTTTTTCTTGTTTCAAAAAAGGGCTGTTTTCTTTACTTATAAAAAATAACAGAAATATTCTCAGAGTTGACTTACAAAAAATTTAAATATAAAGTTAAGTGATGTGTGTGTGTGAAAAAACTGTTGCACTCCTCACTCCTTCAAACAAACAATCAGATCCACCTCATCAGCTGCTTCTACTTGTTAATCTCAGCAGGAGGCGGACTGACAAGGAAGAGGGTCAAAGCAAAACCAATACGGTAAATAAACAAATAAACAATAGCTCTACCATTCACACAACCTTAGATCTTTAACATTAATAATTTTGCAAAAAATTAA